AATTATCATGATGACTATCATTTTGAAAGTCAGGGTCACTTTTCAGAAGAAATAGAGAACACAAGACAACACGAGATGACAGCAAAAAGAGATCCAACCTGGTTGTGTGAACACTACTCAAAACCAACTAACTACCCACATATTAGGTAGACTTAAGATCTGTCTTGGAACTTCTCCTTTGCTGTTTCATGGTGACTCATGAAGAGTACATGCTAAAAGCATCATGGAGGTGCTGACAGGTACCCAACTTTGGTATGGTGGCCTGATTAACACCATGCCATGCCACGATTATCCCATTAAAATCATCTGTGTCACAAGGCAAAATTGAGCTTCCATCTAAATCCCTTGTTGATCAGCTGAATAGAGACCAGTAGAGACATGGGGCATGTCACCTAGCTAATGGTCACTGTGCCTTTAAGCACTGAGCATAAACAGGTCCTTCAGACAGGTCTCTGCTTGTGAAGCTGAGTACAGAGTAAGCTGAGCTGCCCAATACTTGACTTGGAGCAAAGCTCCTTTTCCTGTGCACATTCATTTTATTTTATGGTCATGTAAAAGCCACTTCATGGTGCTGACTACAGCAGGAAAATCAACAACAACACTACAGAACAACCAAAAGCAACCAGAAGGGAAAAGACCAGGGGAAAATATAAAGAGAGATCATCCGATCAACTCTACAAGAAATGACCATGTCACTAGTAAGAATAATTGACTCTGACAGAAAGGAAAGTAGTAATTGGAATGAAACTTGTTTGAATAACAGCTTAAATGTTTCTTTCCTTGCCTTTCAGGCTACATGTGTTGTAAAGCTGGATTTTTTCTCTCCTGGCTAGTTCACAGAGGATATTCTGTATCCAGGGGTCTTAGAAAAGGGGAAAAATATGAATTTGCCTATTTGGGATTCCTGTTGGATTTGGATTCTAGGCTCATATAGACAATTCAGTGATACTCAGTCTCAAATCTTTTAATTCTATAAACAACTCTCAGAGATAATGTATAGTACCAAGCTAGAAAATTGGCAGGAGGCACTTGTTCACTTGATTATTAATTGAAAAAAATCAGAAAAAAAAAACAAATAAAACAACAACAACAAAAAACAAACATCCAACTGACCTTAGAGTCTGTAGTGTTCATTTCAATGGGTTTTAATTATGGTGAAAGAAACAGCAATGCCAGCTAAGCCATTTCCCACCTTATACTGGTATATTTTCTTTTCCAAAGAAACAGAGCCAGCACCCAAATACACACACACACACACAAACACACACACACACAGAAAGAGAGAGACAGAGACAGACAGAGAGACAGAGACATAGAGAGACAGAGACAGACAGACAGGCAGGCAGGAAGATTGCAGGATTATGGAGGGTAAGGGGTCTTATGGCCTACCATTTAAAAACTGGATGCTCAGGAAATGAGATAAGCAATTGAAAGGTTTGAGAGACTTTGAAAGTCAACAGTATAAATTTCAGTCCGAGTGCCGAGCCCACAAACTAAGAGAGAAGGGCAGGAGGTCAGTGTTCTCATTCAAGTCCAACAATATGAGGAATGACGAATGTAATCGTCCTCTGCCTTGTAGCTTGGTTTATGTCCTTGGTGAATAAATGACACCTTACATGTAAGGCTGTCAGCTTGACTCAGTTTGCCAATTTAGACGCTAATGTTTTCCTCAAGCAAAGTCACTGACACGTCCAGGGATAATGTCCAACCTGCTTTCTGAGCACCCTACAGCCAAATTAGGTCAACACATGAAATAATCCATCACTCGGGTGAAAATTCTTAATTCTATTGGCTAGTGTCAATGAGAAACACAGCTTTCAACTCAAAGGAAATAAGAAAGCTTATTCTAAGCCAGATTTAAGTAACCATGAGCCAGAGATATACATTCAGGTTGCCTTGCACGATCTATTCCAACATGGAAGGTTTTCATGCAGTTTTTATAGTTAAAGAATAAAAGGAAGTCATAAATCAAGGCACTTACCAAATGCATCTGTGGGGATCAGGTGAGCAGGTTATAGCAAAGTATGTAAACTTTACCCTAGGTCACAGATATTTTATGAAAATGCCATTTAGCTTTTGAGTTGTTGGTAGCTTGTTAATAATATTTTATGAAATGTTCTTTTACCACAAAGATGTTAGATCAGATACAGAGGTAAATAATGATCATTAGAGTGCTAAAATAATACAAGACAATCTGGCTCTATATAAGCAACATTTGAACTTTACACAACCATTGTTATAATTAACAAAATGGCAGGAGAGAGAAAGATGCCATGCTACAGGACTCACATGGAGGGGTTTTTATTTGGGGAAAGGTAACATAAAAAGAGAGAAAGTGGGGACTGCTCCCACTAGCCTTGGGGACAGGAGCAACAGGCGAGAAGAGAGAGGGAGAGAGGGAGAGAGGGAGGGAGGAGAGAGAGAGAGAGAGAGAGAGAGAGGAGGAGGAGGAGGAGGAGGAGAAGGAGGAGGAGGAGGAGGAGGAGGAGGAGGAGAAGGAGAAGGAGAAGGAGAAGAAGAAGAAGAAGAAGTTGTTACCCTTTGGATTCTACTAGAAAAATCTCAAGGGCCTTGCTTTGAGTACTAAGAATGACAGAGACCTCAGTATTTTCCTAATAATTGATAACACTTTTATCTTCACTAAAGTTTGTTTCATGTTCCTTTATAACTGATATTAGGAGATTTCAGGGTTATTTTTGAGTTTGTGTTGCAATCATCAAGTAAAGGAGCATTCCAGAATCCTCAAGGTAGATTGATACTGGCCCAAGATTAGGAGGAACTTTTAACTAGTGTTTTGAATTAAGCAAAACCACTTCTGTCATATTCAAGACATCCCAGCCAAAAGAGGTGATATTAGAGAAGATGGTGAGATGTTTCAACACCAAATGACATCACACTTTGGCATGTCATGGCGATCTCAAAAGACCATCGTTCTTGCCTTTTAAAACATCTTTGTAAGAACAAAGATTGAAAGAAGATGGAAGTGATTGCTCAGCATGGGTATGGACCAAAATGTGCAGGGGTAGTAACCTCCTTTCGACAACTTCGTTTTCTCCTTAGAATAGTTCAAGTCAGGTTTTGAGAAGTTACTTCAAGATTGGACCAGTCCTACTGCTATGAGGCACAATATTTTGAAACTTAAATGAGAAGAAAGTGAGCTTTATTTGGATTGCTCAACATGTCAGATATTTCATATTTATTACTTCACAATGTTTTCATAACTATTCCTACTCCATGATTTCAATACTATTATTCACATTTTGCAAAAGTAAATAAGATGAAATGAAGTGAAGGAACCTTCTGTCATCATGCTAGACAGTGGCTAAGTCAAAATTTGAATGTATACTTTTGTCCTTTGTACCAATAATGTGTTGCCTCAGTGATTCAATCCCACCCTTCATTGATGAAAAAAAGTGAAATTCAGGTAGACAAATGCCTTCCAGTGTCCCCATTGAGATTCAGCTTGGAAGGACAGGTTCAGTTCCTGTCAGCAAATATTTATGTATGGGCTTTCCTAATTCTAAGTTAGGAAATAAAGACACAAAGCTTATAAAGGAAAAGAAATTGGAAATTGTGATTTACTTCTATTGAAGTGCCAATAAAACACTTTCTGAATCCATGGGGAAAATAATAATAGATGTTTTTAGTGGCTGAATACATGAAATATTGATGTGATTTTTGTATATTATGATGTAATATTACACACTATTCCTATGGACTTGATAGAGCTTATGTAACAAAGTAATATGCAAGAAGCTGAAGTAACATGGTTTCTTACTATTTTCAAAAATCAGAAATACAATACCAAGGTGAAGGATAGCTTAGTTCCTGCTGGAAGTTATAGGAGAATCATGTGTTTTAGATCTTTCTCTGTGAGCAGTGGGTAACCATATTCCTCCTGTATTTTTACTTAATTTCTCTTGTGTGTGTCTGTACCCAGTTTTCCTTTTTTTATTGGGGTGCCAGTCATACAGGGTTAAGATCTGTGCTGGTGCTCTTTCTCTAAGCACAATGCATATTCTAAGACTGAAAATTTACAACTTTGAAAAATTTTCAAGCCAGTGATGTAATTTGTTGATAATATATAAACTCATTTATAATTAACACCTTTGAGAATACCTAGAAATGGGTAAATATAATCAAAATACATTGTATAATTATATAAAGTTTTTAAGGGGCAAATAAAGATATTAAATAAAATCAATTGGTCTACTTCTGTTAATAGAAAAATAGAGTAAATTACTGAAAATAAAAATGAAAATAGAAAAATAGAGTAAATTACTAAAAAGTAAATTGAATAAAAAACCAAAGTTTTTTTTAAAAAATGTGTAACCTATATGTTGTAAACACTTTCCTGGATGCATGTTTAACAAAATTTGATGAGGAAGATCATATCTATCAACACACTTTCAACTTTGTTTTTGTTTCATACTTCAGAAAAGATATAGGGAAATGTATATCATTTTGTGGCTCAAATTATATTTCAAATAGCTCTAATTGTATTTTCTATTTTTGAGGAAAAGCAGGATATAAATGATTGGTCTTTATATTCTAAAATGTTAAGGTAAAAAGAGGATAATTAAATGGTAGTGCCTATGGACTGTCATCAGTGACATTTCCAGCATTCATACTTTACTCCACTAATACAGTTTAATCAATTTTCAATAAACTTATCCAAATATATCTGTAAGCACCTGGCTTTGACATATGGGCACTGACAACTTATAAATATATCTATGACCTCTGAAAAATGTCTAAAATAGATGTCCCAGGTCCACTTTGCCACTTCAGTACTTTTTGTGTGTCTCGTCCTGCATGAGGCATTGTTGAAAACAGTGATTTAAAACTAGAAGATGGAAGACAATTCGCTAATATTTCATATCTGTAAAATACAGATGTTAAATATAGGTATTTGTTCTTTTCCTACTCAATCAGAATACTAATGTATTATTAAATGAAACATTTTTGCAACCATTAAATATGTGATGTACCTATCATAGGCTGGGTGTGAAGGAATGCAAGATGAACCAAATGCAGCCACACTGAATGCACTGCAAGTTTGCATGCAGGTAAGAATGAGAGCCAAAGACAGTCATAGAAGAGGTGGAGAGAGCTTAAAGGAGAATGGAACATCAGAGTCGGGCTAGAGTATCTGGGATGTTTCGTAGAGAGCATGGCAAACTTCTCCAAGGGCTTAGCTTGCTGTCTGAACACCAGTCTGCAGGCTCTTCTCTTTTTATTGCCTCTGCAGACAACAAATTAACCCTAGAAAGCAATTTCCTAACCCATTATGGTTTATCCTTCAATCTTCTCTATCTTGGTAAACAAAGTCTGTGTTGTTACAATCACTCAGTCATAAAATAAGGTATAATTTTTCTTTTCAAGCTTTACATCCATTCCAATAACATATAATAGTGTGGAATCCCACAGAAGTGGGTCCCTTCCACTTTGACAGGAGGTCAGAGAGTTTGGGCCTATTATTGCTCCTTCAAGGCTATTGGCAAGAGGTTTCACTTCAGGTGTAGATACTAACAAGATATCTTGACCTAGGTGTTGGAGGAAAGGGCTGCTTGTTGGTTCCCAGCCACTCAGCTCCAAAATAATCACATAGAAGATATAGTATTTAAATCAATGTTTGACCCATTAGCTCTGGCTTCTTACTGGCTAATCTTACATATTAATTTAACCCATCTCCATTAATCTGTGTATCGCCACATTGCAGTGGCTTACCGGCAAAGTTTTGGCATTTCTGACTCTGGCAGCTCCATGGCATCTCTCTGACTCTGTCTTTTTCCTTTCGGCATTTCATTTAGTTTTCCCCACCTAGCTCTGTTCCCCTATAGCTCTGCTATAGGCCCAAAGAAATTCCTCTATTCATAAAGATTCCTTTATTTATAACCAATAAAAGAAGCACATAGACAGAAGGACCTCCCACACACCCTAGGGTGTGGTTACATGGTGTTTGGGGTATTAATACAGCTCACAGAGATGAATCCATTTCACCTTGACCAAAGGTCAGAGAGTTCAGGAATATTCCTACTCCTTCAAGGAGATGATAGGAGGTTTGACCCAGGGAGTGGCTACCTATAGGATACTTGGTCTAAGTTTATTGCTGCATGTCCTGCCTAAACAAACAGAATACTTAACTCAGGATATAGTTGCTTGATGCTTCAGGTATTAAAGAGATGATTTCCCTGTTTGTTCTTTGTATCATGTTAAAGAAGTCTTTTGCCTTCTTCCCTGCCCCCCCCCCTTTTTGGATTGGGATATATAAGCATGGAAAATAAAGGTGAGTGAATTCATTATTCACTGAACTGCCTTCCCAACTCTATCTTATGTCTCTGTATTTCTCTTGCATCTCTGCTCTATCTGCCTGGCATTTCTAATCTACACACGCTTTCCCTGGAATATGCACACCCCATCGAGGCTGGACACCAACATAACAGTTAGAACATATACTCTTATGTAATAATCCACCAGTTTGTGCCACTCTATACTTAGGGATTTGGGATCATCCTTCTCAGAGCATGGTTGACTTTCCAGGGGCAAGACCCTTAAAAGAAATTGAACATCCAAACTGGCTAGGCTCCCACAAAGCCAGCACATTACCGTAGGTTCAAAACCCCATGCCATTGCCCTTGGCTTCTCATCAGCCCTCATTGTTCGCCATGCTCAGAGAGTCCAGTTTTATCCCATGCTTTTTCAGTCACAGTCCAGCTGGCCTTGGTGAGCTCCCAATAGATCAGCTCCACTGTCTCAGTGGGTGTGTGCACCCCTCGTGGTCCCGACTTCTTTGCTCATGTTCTCCCTCCTTCTGCTCCTCATTGGGACCTTGGGAGCTCAGTCCGGTGCTCCAGTGTGGGTCTCTGTCTCTATCTCCATCCATCACCAGATGAAGGTTCTATGACGATATGCAAGATATTCGTCAGTATTGCTATAGGATAGGGTCATTTCAGGTTCCCTATCCTCAGCTGCCCAAGGAACTAACTGGGGACCGGAGGGGGGAGGACCTAGGACTTACCACAGGGCAGGGAACCCTGACTGCTCTTTGGACTGGAGAGGGAGGGGGAGAGGAGGGGGGGAGGGGGAGAAGGGTTGGAGGAGGAGGAGAAGGGTGGGAGGAGGGGGAGAAGGTTGGGAGGAGGGGGAGGGAAATGGGAGGCTGGGAGGAAAAAAATAAATAAAAGAAAAAAAGAAATTGACTCTCCCTCCCCATCAAAGGCAGTGACTGTCAATAGCTTCTCAGCTAGGACTGGTTTAACTGTTCCCCTCCCCAAGCCTTGGTGTAATATTGACTGACTTAATTGTGTGCTGGCCATGTGTAGGCAACCATAGTTACTGTGAGTGAACAAGTTTAGTGAGCCTATCGTATCTAAAAGATACTGTTTTTCTCCAATGTTCCCTGACTTCTGGTTTTTCTAATCTTTCTGCCTCTTCCTTGATGGTCCCTGGTGAAAGGATATAACATATACATGTCCGTTTGTGGCCAAGTATGTCACCAAAGCTTACTCTCTTTATTTTGACCAGTTGTGAGTCTCTGCATTAACTTCCATCCACTGCACAAAGAAACTTTTCTAATAAAGCTTGAGGGCTTCAATAATCTAGACATATTAAGAATTTAGAAGGCAGTTTGATACTGTGTCTATTTAGTAAAATAACAGTAGTTCACCCTGGGATCTATTTAGCCCCTACCAGTACTCCTCCGATAATCAACAGGCTGCCAAATATAAATCCCAGGGGCAGGTGTAGAATACATCCCCATGAATTTTTGGTCATAGGTTTCTCAGGGACTCCCTGAACAATATAGACTTTTTCCATTGCTTTTTGTTGTCCATCAAAACTTGATAATAAAACCCTATTGCTGAAGATATCATACACATTAGTCCTAGCACATGAAGAAATCCAGTTTGTGCCAACCAGAGAGATTTGTCCCAGCAAAAGGAGTGGCATCCTCTATATAGGGTTACTTGAATTAAGTTCTTTTATATGAATAGATGCATATATATCTTAAGAAATAGCACATTTCCATATTTTTAAGTTAATATTTTCCTCTACTCGTTTTGCTGTTTTTGCATTTGTTTTCATGTTTCCTGTCACATATATTCTACACTCTTTCCTTTTTTAAGCTGTTTCTTTCTCCTCCCCACCAACATTGCTTTCTAGTTCCACTGACTCAATAGGTTCTTCATTAGAAACACAAATTTAAAAATTTGACAGTAATATCAACATGAGTGAGAATATGTGACATTTGTTTGGGTCTGGAATGACTCACTCTGTGTAATGCTTTCTAGTTCCACCCACTTACCTACAGATTTCATAAGTAAAATTTTCTTTATAAGTAAATATTATTGCATTGTATATAGGAAACACATTTTAGTTATCCATTTTCCCATTGAAGGGCATCTAGGCTGTTTCCATGCCCTAGTTCTTGTGGATAGAGAAGCTAAGAACATGGATGAGGAGAGAGTCCTTTGGGAATACGTTGGTAAATCTGGGTTATAATGTAGATCTATTTCTAATTTTCTAAGGAACCCAACAGTAGTTTCCATAGTGACTGTACCAGATTGCACTCCCACCAATACTGCATGAGTATTCCCCATAGCCTCAGAGTCATTGTTATCTTATTCTCTGGTCTCTGTTTCTACAATGTGTTGGGCACTCTGTACTCTTCACACTTTCTAGGCTTCCAAGCTTCCGTGATGTACCCTGGCCATATGCCTAACAGTGTGACAACAGTTGGTGCTTCTAATATGCTGAAAAATATAAGGGCTCATGTCACATTGTCTCTTATAACCCTAGAGCCAGCGTAGTTTAGGGAGCCCATGATATAATGCTTGTTTCTGTGCCAGAATATTTGGAGGAGTTTTAAATCATCTCTAATACACAATAAAATTTTTTGAATGAAGCTCAAAAGTACCCTGGACTGTATAAAAGTCCAAGAATAAAATTTTCCACTGATAAAGTGAATTGTTATTATAATTGCTAATTTTACATCATATTTGACCAGGAAACAAAGTGCCCAGATATGTATATCTGGTTGTTTCCAGGAGGCCTGAGAGTTTGTGGACAGAGCAAAGGAAAGACTGTGACCTCCCAATACTCTAAAGAGAATGCGAGTCAAACAGAGATCAGAAGGTTGAGTTAACTCTAACTGACAGATTAGGTTTAGTTTCATTTCTTCCTTCAATATTCCTGGTTCCCAAACCTCTCTGGTTTGAAATTCACGTTATTAATTCTGTCCCAGGGTTTTGAATGATATCATTGTTTTATAAACAATGATATATTGTTTATTTGGCCTGTGGGTATGGAATAGTGGGACACTTCAACCTTTATAATTATCATTAACAATGTAGTTACAGGTACTTTTCACTGAAAAATAACTCATTCTTTGCCACAACCCCTTTAAAGATTTATTTATTTTATGTGTCTGAGTGTTTTCATTCATGTAGTTATATGCACTACATACATGCATGGTGCCTATGAAAGTAAAAGGTGGCATCTGATCCTCTGGAACTGAAGTCACACACAGTTGTGAACCAACATGTCGGTGCTGGGGATTTAGTCAGAGTCCTCATCAGGAGCAGCAAGTGCTTTTAAACTCCGAACCATCTCTCCACCATCTCTTTAACCTTTTCAATTGCTTTCTCCACTCTACGGGAAGATACAGCTTAAACATTAATTCTTTCTCTTTACTAGAATTATCCACAATACAGAAGCTTGTTTAAAAGAAAAATAGCATCCAACTGGAGGTGTGTTAGTGCCATTCCTTTGTCTGCGGAAGACAAAACACATGTTCAGAGGAGGCTGAACACCACCCAGTCAGTACTAAGCTTAAGTCCAAATTGATCTGTCTGTCTTTAAGGAAGATTCTAAAGCAATCAGATAAAGAAAAAGTCAGAATAGAAGCACAGGAATTATAACCAGACCTATATGATAGCAGTTTGAAGAGGGAAATATGAAAGTTATTCAATTTTGGCTTTCAACATCCCTGAGAAGACTGACATTTCAGAGGGTATGATGCTTAACTTAAGACAAAAGTGAGCAGTTCTTTAAGTGCATCTCGGTCATT